ATTGCAGATCTGAATTAAGAAATCTGTTTTTATCTAAACCCGTTCCCTTTCTCACTCCTTCTATTTTCTGGCCATCTGTGACACTTGGGCCCCTCACTTCATGACAATGCGTCCCTGGCCTGCTTGTAGTACTGACTATACTTTCACTCACACTCCTGACTCACAGGTCACGCATGGTGGGAAATCACAACACTCCTTGCTTTCCATGACCACTTCCAGGTTCTCCCTCTATGACCATCACTAGCAGCAAATTATCATCCTTTGAGGTATGAGCGATCTAAATTTTTTTGTTTACCACCTAATCCAAATCCTCACAGCCACAGCCATGGCCACCGTCTACTGTCACACAGGACCTTCCCCTTCAGTACTCAGTAAGTTAAATGTCTGGCTCACAGTCCTCTCCACCACAATTCCTGCCCTCCTAATAGAAGATTTTCACCTATATATTTATACTCTCTCAACTACCCTAACACTCTAGTTTCTTGATCTATTCAAATCCCATTATATTGCACTTCAGATTCACAAAGACAGTCATATCCTTAGTCTTGCCATCACCAACAACTTCTATGTGGTAAGCGATGAAATTCCTTTATCTGATCATAACCTTCTATCACATACTATCTTGCCTTTTGCTCAACAGCCCCTAAACCTGTTCTTCAACCTCACCATGACCTCCAATCCCTCCACCCCTCAGTTCTTTCCCAGGCATCAGCCCTGCACTGGCTACACTCTGCTCTCTTCCCTATCTCTATCTCTAGGTAAATCACTTCAAACCTATACCATCTCCTACACTCAAGTCCTTTGGCCTTTTGTCCTGTCACCTAAAATACTTTGGATTACTCCCATCACTCCCTTCTCTCCCATTCATGCGTCGCTGAAGAGAGATGGAGAAAAATCACGAAATCCTGCTGATGTGGTCCACTACAAATTTATGCCATATAATTTGAATTGGGCCCTTCCTCCAACGAGGCAATCCTTTTATACCTACTGAATCAATCTGTCTGGAGGAGTAGAAATGCAAACTCATCTCAATGGTGATTTCAAACCTTTTCAGCAAACCTCAAGCCTCCTGTGATACTTCCCTCCTCTCCTCTTCTTAGCTGAAGACCTCCACTCAGATTTCATTTAAAAATGCTTAAAAAATTGAAACCATTTGCCAAGAGCTCCCTCTTCTCTTTTTCCTCTATACTATCTCTACTGGTGATCTCAGCTACTCCCAAGGACTCAATCATCATCTCTATGCAGATGATTCCCAGATCTATACAATCTTAATCTCTCTTCTGAGCTCCAATCACCCATCACCCACTGCCCTTTGGACATTTCAAATTCAATGTCTACAACAGAACTCATCTCTCTTCCCTTCCCCCCAACCTTTGCCCTTTTCCCAACTGCCCTATTATTCTTGAGGGTACTACCATCCTTCTGGTCACCCAGGCTCAAAACCTTGGGGTCATCTCCACTCATCCTCACTCCACATATCCAAACTATTATCAAATTTTCCCTATTCAATAAAGATCCCTATCCAATAGGAGCTCCCAGATTAAATATAAAATCTTTTATCTGTCACTGAAAGCCCTTTACAACCTGGCACCTTCCTACCTTACCAGTCTTCTTATGCTTTACCCTGCCATGCATACTATGATCTAGCTAAGAAGGTCTGCTCGCTGTTGTTCCTTACAGGTGACACTCCATCTCTGGACTCCATACATTTGAACTGGCAATATATCCTATGGCTGAAATGCTCTAACTCTTCACTCCCAATTCCTAGCTTCAAGCCTTGGGAAGAGGCCATTCCTGGCACCCCCTTATTACTAGTCTGTTACCTATAAGATTACTTTCCATTTTACATGGTCTACATATTTTAAGTTACAGTTATTTGCACGCTGTCTCCCCCTATTCAGAACGTGAGATCCTCTATAGCCGCTACTGTGTCTTTGCCTTTCTTTGCCCCAGAATTAAGCACGGTGCCTGAACCAGATTAAGCTCTTAACGCTTGCTGACTAACTCTGAGAATCAAGTGATAATGTGAAAATGTTTCCTGTGTGAAAGTGTTATGCAACTGTAAGTTACTACATTTTAAATCTGCACTATCATCACTGATCTCGTTCACACGTTTTTTGATGAAGTTCAGATTACAAGAATCTCAGGACAAGTAACCTTATATTTAGTGTTCTCTGAATGACTGTAGAGTTGGAAAAAATGACTGCCTTTTGTACCTGGACAAGACTTTGATTTTCTATTGCCAATAAGGTTTACTTAATGAATTCTCAAAGACAGAACATGGCTTTTATTTGTAATATGGGAATTTATCAAGGGTAGTGAGCTACTGGTACATAACTTTAGCTATTTGATCATGTCTTTCTAGATATCCAATAAATGCTAAATTTTTGCAACCTACAATGAAATGTTGTATAAATTCCAGAATTTTATTGCACAATGTGCATTATTATTACCTCATTCTCATCTTTTTCAATGGAATTCTGCTAAGATTATTGTGATTATCTCATCATTCTTCTTGCTCTTTCACCTACCCTGATACTAAGTTAATCCCCTTCTCTGGGCTTCAAAGATTACCTAGTCCAACTCTTTCACTGGATAGATAATGAAACTATGATCCTCTCCAGCTTTTACACTCTGTGAATTTGTGAGCTAATAAAGCAAATACCACCAAGGCCATGTAAGAACTTGGTGATGTTAATGTCTCTACTAAGACTTCGTGTTCCCACGAAAGGGAGCCCACCCTTTGTTTAGCGTGTCGACTCCACTAAACAAACTCTGCTTTTGAAGACCAAGTACTTACTACGTCTCCTGGCAAACGTGGAGAAGGCGCACAAGAAGACCTGTGGGAGTCCCCTCCCCACCCTCAGCACCAAACCCAGTGAGTCACCCTCCCCACCAGCAGATCAACAACTACGTTTTGTTCAGAGTCACTGACGTCTCAGGTCAGAACTGATTTTGGTCAGCACTCATGACAGCATGCAGAAACATTTCCCTCAGGGAATCTTCCCATGGGATTGCTGCCTAAATGATATTCTCACAGGACTATCTTCTAATAGTGCTACTGATTAATAAAGAAGAAGAAATTTCAAAGGTTTATTTAGGGAATGGAGGGTCTAAAAGTAGATAAAGAGATGGCAGCAATCAAAGCGCTACAGGGAGGAAGAACAGAAGGAAGAGGAGGAAGGAGGGAAAAAGGAAGGGAAAGAAGGAAGAAAGGAAAAAGAGGAAGGAAATAAGCACCTACTATGAGCCAGGCACTGAGCTAAGGGGCTTTGCAAGTATCACCTCACTTGAACCTCACAACAATCATGGGAGTTAGGTGCTATTATGATCCCCACTTTATAGTTGAGCAAACTAAGACAGCCGGGGATTAAATGACTTGCCCAGGGCCACATAGATAAAATCACCATACTGATTTTAAGTTACTTCCTCAATGAATGTCTAGAAAGGGAGTCCCAACAGATTGCTTTTGAAGCATCACCTGACCATGGTCAAGAAAGCAGAAGTCACTGCTACACCTCTCTCCCCATGGCGTGCTTTTAAAGGTTGCAAACTGAGGAGGGGTTGAGGGTAAATGGGATGATTCTGTACCCTGATCTAATCACTCCCTGAATGTCTAAACTATAGGCAAGGAAGCACACGTCCCCCACTTCAACCCACTAATTCAAGAATCCTTCACATTTCTGTTAAGGGCAACAGTATCCAGGCACCCAGTCTCCTAGACTCAAAACCCCAGGATTTTCTTTGATTTTTCCTTCTCATTCGCCTCCCACAGAACCATCCATTCAGCAACCAAGTTCTGTTGATTCTCATTCCCCGAGAGTGTTCAAATCCATCTCCATTCACACTACCATAACTCTGGTTCAAGTTTCTGTCACCTCACATCAGTCCTATATTAGGATCCCTGCCTCCAGTTTCTCTTCTTTGAGCCATATAGTCTTCCAAATAATAACTTTCCTAATGCCCAGAACTGATCGTGACACATCCCAGCCAAAAAGCAAACGGCATCTAATATACTGTTACTTCAAACAAAAGGTATATGCATATCGTCTACAAGCTTCTTCCCTGACTTCCTTACCTAATAGTATCCTCAAATTTCCTAGAGTACTCTGCCTGGAACTCCCCTTTTCACCTTTCATAAGCTCCCTCATACTAAACTTTCTCACGTTTCTTTTTCTGTAATAGTCAGAGTGGGACATAACGGACAAAGTGCTGGGTTTAGGGATAGAGGACCTGGATTTGAACCCCAGCTCTGCCACTGACGACTTGTGTAGTGATTCGAGCAAGTCACCCAATCTCCCTGTGCCTTAGTTTCCTCATCTAAAAGAGGAGGAGGGTGCACCAGATGCCCCTGTGTTCCTGTGAGTCCTCTAACTTCTTCAGGGAAGGGACTGGGCCTTTTTCATCCTTGCTGTCGCAGAGCCTAGCACAGTGCCTTACTTACAGGAGTCATCGGAGAGATGGTTAGCAAACTGAACAAAACATTAAAACTAACTGATCTTCAAGCCAAGAAGGGAAAAAAGACTAAGTCTTTCTGCTAGAACTCTTGGCACAGAGGGGCTCTGTAGGCAGGAATATACCTGCTGCGAAATATTCCCACACTCAGGCTCTCATAGAGAGACAAGCAGAGACAAGTCCCTCTACACTCCCCAAATATCTGGGCTAGTAACAACGAAAGATACTCAGAGATCTTAGCCCCAGGACAATAACACCTGTCAGCCAACTAGGGTTCTCACGGCTCAGTCTTTATTTTAAGCCTAGCACAAAGCAGCATTACATACCTGTAGGAGACCTTGAGAAAACAACAAGACTGTCTTCACACAGCAGTCTAGCAATACTGGCAAAGCACCAGTGTTAAGGATAAAACTGTGAATTTATCAATACAAAGAAGTCAGCAGGCATTCTTTCCTTGATAAAGCTGCTTCTGAGGAAAAACTTGCACACACCACAGTGCAGAAGGAGGCCACGAGTGACACCAAAGCCACTGTGTCGTCTCTCACCTGAAGCCAGAGGTCGGATCCACTCTTTACTATTGAGATCGAGTCTCCAGAGGTCATTGAAGGCAGCATTGCAGCTGCTTTGGGTGCAGCCTCCAAAGACATACATGGACTGATTAGCATCATAGTAACACGCACCTAGAAAGAGAGAACAAAGATAAGAAAATGCAGCTTCTCTCTTAGGCCCCCAAGTAGTCAGCCCTGGAGCGTGTGGTTCAAAGGCAGGACTGGGATTCTAGATCTAATTTTGAAATTGCGTCCAGAAAAAGAAAACAGACACCCTCCACTCTATCTTTAGCTAGGGTACAAATCTACACACAAATTTTTGGGGGAAGTGGATCAAAAATCAGAAAGGGCCTCCAGTTCAGGGACTCATGTTATCCAGGCTACATGAATTCTAATGTCTCCCCACTACTGAAAACTCAAGAGCTTCACAAACACATCAGATTTGTTTAACCAGCAAGCAAACCTGCATAGTAATTCCTGAAACAGATAACCACTACCACAGAGGAAGCATCAGAGCATAACTTTAGAGGCATTAGTATTAACCAATAATGCTGAGGGCTGCAACAATTTAATTTTTCAGAATACCTTACACATGAGTAATGACTTCCAAAGACAGCATCTTAGATGCACCTTTTGGCTACCAAGAAAAAAGCACAAGAAGATGAGAGTCCACGAATGTCAGACTGGAAAGGACATCATTCAGTCCGATATCCTCATGTCAAAAATGAGGGGCATGAGCCAAGAGGGAAGGCAAGACAAGGTGGTAAAAGTAGGATCTGATATCAAAAGCCCTTGGGCTGGCTCCTGACTCTATGACTTCCAACAAGCCATTTCCCCTTCCGGGGATGGTCATCACCTATAAAATCTGGGAAGTAAGGCCCAGGGGAAAGTGGCAAGAGCACTTAACTCGGACCTCACTTCCATCCCGGTTCTACCACCTCCTTCATTTGTGACCTTTTGGTGCAAGTTTCTCGACGGCTCTGTGCTGCAGGTGACTATTCTACAAAATCAAAGAGACAGACTAGATAGCCTCTGAGATCCCTTCCAATCTAACTCTAGTATCCTAGATGAAGATGACAGCACCATCTTTTTGAAAATCTTCCTTTGAAAAATATATACACTGATTACTCAAACTATTAAGGAGAGGAATAAGACTGTTTTAAAATCAGTCCTGCAAGGCTGTCCCACATTCGGGCCAGGTGAAAGAGCCTGGAAACCACAGGGCAGTGTGACTGACGGATAAAGAGCAGAGGGTGGAAGAGTTGTTCAGAAAGCCACAAATGCCCTGGGAAAGTTCTAAGTCACCTGGGCCTGTCCACTAGGACTGACTAGAAAACCAACGGAGCCCCAAAGACCAGGCTCTGAGTCTTAGCTTTCCCACTAACTAGCTGAATGATCACAAACTTTCTAACCCTATTTCCTCCTCTATTAAATGAGGCTAACAGTACCTGCATAAGGACAGCATGGTATAACAGAGAGAGAGGATGAGCCTTCAAAGTCAGGAATACATGGCTTCGAGTCCTGTTTCTGAAATATATGGTCTGTGTAACCACAGCCAAATTAACTTATTTTTTAGTGGCCCAGACATTTTCTAAAACTGTAACATACAGAGAGAGTTGCTAATCTGCATTACTGGAATAACTTTCCACAATGGGAGCTACCTTCAACTAGTAAATGCACAGACCCGCACCTGCAAACTCCTCAAAAAAACAAAACAAAAAAAGCACCAAAAACCCACCCTCCAAGGAAGCCATCAATAAGAAGAAAATCTCTAGTCAAAACATACTCAAGGGCACTTTTTTTATGATAGCAAAACATTGGAAACAAAGATAATAATCAAATAGCAAATGGTGCATGAATATAATGGACTGTGACTGCAGTATGAAACGCTGAATGTGATGGATATTGAGAAGCACGAGAGGATTACATGAACTGATGAAAAATGAAGTCAACAGAGTCCAGAAAACAACACACAGGAAGATCACAACAATGTAAATGAAAAGAACAACCACATACACATACCAAAAAAATCAAAAGGGAATGATGCAAGATCATTAAAAGTAAGCATGACTTAAAAGACAAGCTATGAGAAGCTGCTTCCAATCCATACTTTCATGGAGGGGAAAGGTCCACAAGCGTTACACATTAAAGATGATTTAATACTTTTTCGAAGTATTAATCGGTTGTGCAGATTTTTTTCCCATTTTTTGTCTTTAAAAAATTACTATTTGTTATACAAGATGGCTCTCTGGAAGAGAGGATGGAGAGGGATTATTAGGGATAGCTATGATGATATAAAAAGCAAATGACATCAATAGAAACTTCTATTTTTAAAAAAATCTACTACCTTCTACAAGCACTTCATAAACATTAATGTACTACAGAAATGAGAACTCTTATTTTTATGACTACTGAAAAGTAAAGAAAAGTCTTTATGGCAGATGTTAAGGTCCCATCTATAACTATAAACTACACATAACAAAAAAGAGGCAATAGGTCAGGGAAAGATTACACTCCTACTAAGCAGAAGGAAAGAAGTTTGGCCCTTCTCAGTTAATAAGTATGGGAATAAAGCTTCACAGCTGTTTTCTCACTAGAAGGATCATTTATTCATTATCCTTTGGAATGTATACTTCAGGGCTATATTCAAACTCTTCGCTCTCAAGAAGAGCGTAGGGCATGAAACCTCTTTCTTCCTTCCTTGTTCTCTCACACACAGCACCAGGGAAATAAAAACTGTGGGATGTAAATAGGTCAGAACAGTCAGGGGTTAAATAAAAGGAAGGGGGGAAAGGGGAGAAAACAGGAGACTCAATGGGATAGTACTATGGCTTCAATGACCAGAAAGAAACTCTTTTGGACAGAATGTGTTTAGCAAGTCACTGCTTCTAAGACTTATTTGAAACTCTAGCACCATTTATTCAACTTTAGAAAAAAGAAAAGGCATTCTATTGGTTTTTGCTTACCAAATGCCAGTGCCATAATTCTTTACTTACATGAATGACCCTTTCTAACTCAACCCATCCACTAGATCCCTTCAGTAATTCTTGAACTAGTAAGACAAGCCAGCACACTAGGATAAATTACAGGCAATAAAACAGTGTGTTTAGTCACATACACAATAACCTCACTCAGTAGGGGAAGTAGTTAAAACCTTTATCGTTTGAGAAGGCCCCTATTGTTTGGCCTGTGGCTTGTCAGGTAGATTAATTAGGCTCTTCAACAAACCATGCAGAAGAAACCTTGGATTTGTAGGTGTGAAACATTATCTGGTCATCCACAGGTCCCGTTTCTTGGTTCCTTTTATTTCAGCTCCAGACTTGATCTGTCTTCCAAACATTAGACTCCCAACTGCTTATAAGGCGTTTCAATCTGGATGTCTCACAGATACTCCAAGCTCAACAGGTCAACAATCCCAAGTTGTGTCCCCCTCCCCAGACCTGCTTCCTCCTTCTGACCTATTTCTCCCTGTAGCACCATCATTCGCTCAGTTTTCCAACTTAGTAACTTAGGGGTCATTACAAGGATGATTAATGCACCCAGGACGGAGTAGAATGATACACCCTTTTCTAGAGGCAATGGCAATATAGTAAAGTACTGATTTCATTATGGTTCCAGAGGTGGAAAGGGGGAGTGGTAGCAGTGGGGGTGGTAAGAGAGTGAAGTGAAGAATGGCTGGAGTAGCCTGATACAACAGACACAAAAGGTACTCATCAACTAGGACCTCGGGAAACCCAGTGCATGAATGCCAGGACTTTTCAGGTTAAATCCTCTAGATACATATTCTGGTCCAGGCAGCAAGACAAGGGGAGACAAAAAGGTGGGGAGCTCCATAACATGTTGGGCATCCTTCCATTCTACTCTACTCCCAATGCCACCACCTACATACAACCTTTATTACCATGTGTAGACACTACTAAGACCAGGTCTTTCCCACCTCCGCTCTTTCATCTCCAGTTAAGCGGTCACTTGCTCCCCCTGCCCAATCCCTTCACCTCATACAGCTGCTGACAGAAAAATCTTGATTATGCATAGATATATTTATGTCATTCTTCTGCTCAAAATTCTTCAGTGGCTCCCTCCTGAGAAAAGTTCATACTTACCCACACGTACAAAAATGTTCACAGCAGCTCTTTCTGTGGTGGCAAAGAACTGGAAATTGAGGGATGCCCATCAACTGGGGAATGGCTGAACAAGCTGTGGTGTATGAATGTAATGGAATACTATTGTGCTTATTATAAGAAATGATGAACAGGCGGACTTCAAAAAAAACTGGAAAGACTTGTATGGACCGATGCTGAGTGAAGTGAGCAGAACCAAGAGAACATTGTACACAATAATAGTTACGTTGTGCAATGACTAATACTGATAAACTTCCCAGCAATATAAGGATCTAAGACATCTCCAAAGGCCTCATGATGGAAAATGCTATCCACATCCAAAGAAAGAACTATGGAGTTTGAATGCAATCAAGCATACTATTTGATATTTTTTTCTCTTCTGTTGAGTTTTGTTTCCTCTTTCTGGTGGTTCCTCCTATTGGTTCTAATTTTTACTTACAACATCACTAATGTGAAAATATGTTTAATAAGAATGTATAATATATATATATCAGATTGGGCGCTGTCTTTGGGAGGGTGGTGGGGAGGAAGGAGGAGAAAAATTTTAAACTCAAAAGCATGCGGAAGTGATTGTTGATAAATCAAAAGAAATTAATGAAAAAAAGAAATAAAAAAAGAAAAGTTCATACTCCTATGCCTAGTATTCAGGGCCTTCTGCCTTCTGGTGGTGCTACCCTACATTTCTAGCCTTATCCCAAATACCAACCAAACTGTCCCCTGAATATACTATGTGCTGTCCTCAGGGCCTCTGTTCACATTGTTCCCCCTATCTAGAGCTGGAGATCTTAACTTTTTCTGTGTCAGAGAGGCATCTTTGGCAGTCTAGTGAAGCCTATAAACCCCTTGCCAGAATCATGCTGTTAAACACATGAAATGAAATAGGATTACTTTTATACATACCTTATTTATTCTGTATTTACCTATAATTTACATTTATTATGTCTAATATTTATATGTACTTTTTATATATTGACCTCAAAGGGCACAGTGGATAGTACAGGGCCTGGAGTC